GTTTTTACAAAATATTTTAACAACATATTAACATGATCAACAAACAACCGCTGGATTATTTAATCTTAGTTTGGATTTCTGAATTCCAAAGCTTAATTTTCAAATAAATTAAAAAAAAGAAGAAAAAAGTTAAAGCAGTTGCAATAAATTAGCTACAAATAGTTTGCAGTCATGGATTATGATAAATTCAGGCAGTAAACAACAATTACTAGCAGGTAAACTCAATCAGCTTAAATTTACTATAATTCAGAGATTACATTTTTTTTATTCAGGAACAAAGCTGAAGATAAGAAATCCTGAAGTTAAACATGGATTCAAACTCAGAGCCTGACTTTATGTACCTTTGGGCATCAATACTAGCAATCAGTAAGTCATTAATATTCTGGTGTAATGTGCTTTAGGTACCTCCAATGTTGCTTTCATACTTAAAATGATTAAAACTCCAACAGAAATTCCTCAGAAATCTATCTGACTTCTTTCCCAGTGTTCCCCCTCTTCCATATCGTCTTGCAGCTCTGAAATCACTCATGATATGGCCACTGATGGAGTTGTGCTGCTGGTCTGATGTCACTCAAAATCTCCCTCAAAGCCCGCTCCAGTAACCACGTTACGGCTCCAATACATTCTCCCTCCACCCGCTCATCAGCCTCTGCATTTATTTTACTTTTTTTTTTTCAGAAGCTTGGGACCAATTCAATTTTTGCATCGATCTTGTGCAAAAAAAACAGAAGAGAAATCAGATCAGAGGAGTACTAAAAGCTTTCCCTTAAATCAATCAAAATACATGAATACGTTACTGGTACTTTTGTATGTTTTTAGGGGGATATTACCTATGTTATGCCATTAAAATATGAAATAAAAGGAACCATGATCTGCGGTAAAACTTACCATTACTTTTAATAATGGCTGTGCAGCAGTCCATGGCCTCATGGTTGGTTGGCAGTTTCATGTATTACAGCTGATAGAGAAACCGTTTCTAAATAAACGATAAGCGTAACAGTTTCATCTTCCCCCCCGAGCGGACACGCGATCCTGTCTGCGTCGCCCCGCCGGTGTTGAGGCGCTTCGTCGGCCCGTTGGAACGCCAGCCGACTGGCTCCAGGTCCAACTGTCACAAGGCCCGGGCAAATTCCTCACCCCAGTGCCCAAGTACTCAGACGTGTCACCGCCGACTTTGACAGATGACTCCTTGAAAGTGGAGGAATATATATTTTGAAATTTAAGGCCTCTGCAAAGATGCAGAGGGAAGTAAATTCCTGCTTTAAAAAAATTGGAAAAATGCATCACCTTTTTGTCTTGTTTTCACAACAGGTGCATCTCAATAAGTCAGACGACCATTTTAATATTAAAAAATGATTAAACACCAATAAGTATTATATTGGTGTCCAACCGTTTGGCCATATTGGACAAAATGTGACTTGCGGGCCCAAAAAATTTAATATTAAAAATACAGAAAAACAAAACATAATTTTGTTTTACGTACTGAACAACAAACCAAGCTGCAGCACTTTAATTAGAACAATTAATTCATTATGTTTTTGTTACAAACTGTTTTAACTGTATTGTGTCAACTCTTGCAAATATTTTCTCTCAAGAAGTTTTATTCTGGTTAAAATAAGATTGAAGGTTTTTATGTTGGGAAGGGATATGCAATATTTTGTAAATCCAAAATGTAAAAAGAGTTTTGCGAGTTTGTCTCATTAAAAGAAAAATATCCACTTTATTTTAAAGGTCTTGACGGAAAATAAAACTATTTTTGTCAATCCTGAGCAATATGGCCCTCAGGCCACACTTTGGACTCCCCTGGTACATGTAATACTAGAATTGTGCTGGTTGGGGGGTTAAAAGAGTGAAACTGGGCCGTTCAGACTGCCATGAAAAAGCTGGACATGACCCAAAAAAACAGAAAAGAATTGCATTTAGTTGCAATTTGTCGACAAATTTTTGCTCTTACTTTTAAACTTTTGAACTGCTGTTATGATGCCTGGTATTGTTTGTACAATTAGTAGCAGCTGATTAGCATATCAGAAGCTCAAACAATACCTGAACTCTGACCCCAAATCTCAGAGTGGTTTAAAGCAGGCTTCACGGATGCAGAGCAGAGAGAGAAGGAGGAATTTCAACCTCTTCCATCGATCATAACGGGCAGAGATGGATCCCCCACTCCAACATCTTTCTGCCCAGTTTTCTAATCATATGGCCAGAGAAAGAGGAGCGGCAAAAGCAAATGAGATGGATTAACTGTGCTTGCAACTGATGATGTCATGCAGGACATGCTACTGAGAAATATTAAGCTGTTAGCATGTTATACAGCAGCAGTCTTCAGTCAGAGGCCTCATCAGATTCGTTGCAAGACTGACTGCTACCGTAGATTCTTCCTGCCCAAAATATATGACAACATGTAATTTAACTCAGGAAAAAATAAATTATGTTTTAATTGAATTGAAGATAGGATTTGGGGCACAGAAATGCTAACATCTGGGTTGGTCAGCTCCAGTCCTTAAGAGCTGGTTTCCTGACCTGAAATAATGCAATAATTCACACAAGAACGTGCTTACAAAATTACTAAAACAAGTAAAAATCCTGCAGAGCAGAAAGATATACCCTAAAAAGCCTTAAATGTTTTGAACACATCCATTTTAATGGTTTTATACAACATCTATTTATATAAGTATATATAAGAAACATAATCTTGAGTGTCCATTAGCTGTAAATACTTCAAATACATCAATCTGTCGGAAATGAATCTATATCGTTTACAAGTTTCTCCATTTTTACCACTTTTCTGTCAGATCCTCAGTTGATTTGTGCAAAGCTATCTCACTGTGATATCCAATCCACGGAGAGAATTACCTTAAAGATTAAATGTTTGTGACTATTATTGATTTATAGATTGGGAGCAAAGTGAGTCGTGTGTGTGCATGCCTGCGTGGAGCGGTGAGGCTCCGCTCTGATGGCCGGCATTAAAAAAAAAAAAAAAGAGTAATAACCTCACAGATGGCGAGGTGACGGTCCTGAGCAGAGCATGTGATGGTGAGCAATCGGTGAGGCTTGACAGGGGGAAGGGTACCAGAGAGGTAGAAACGGGTTGTTTAAGTTTAACTAGGCCGCCTCTGCCCATTACAAGCCTGACAATGATGTGTTTTGTCGCAGACTAAGAGTTGATCAAATCGGATTTCATACGCCGCTCCCGCGTTTCATCTGTTTGATTCATCATCGCCTCAAGTGCGAGGAAATCATTTGTATTCTTTGGCTGCAGCACGTTCATGCCTCCCTGTGGAGAGATGATTCAGTGTTATATGGAAAGGTGCAAGAGTCGGGCGGTGTAAAAGGACGATAAATCCACCTGTCACTTATGCAAAGTGATGTAAATGGGGTCCCTGATTAAGACACAGAGTCATTTAAAAAACAGGGACTCGCAGCGCCGCGACTGAGCCGCGCACAAGCAATCTCTAATCGATTCACACACACACACATTTGGAACGTCCTATGTTTCTAAAGTCCTTCCTCACACACACACACACACACACACACACACACACACACACACACACACACACACACACACACACACACACAGACAAGTTAAAATCCCCCGCCGCCCCAAGCCTGCCACCAGAGCAGTTTATCAAGTAATTATTGTTTGATTACAGCGTTTCATTATCTGCACTGATTGAGTCACAACCGACGGCAAAGGTCAAGCGCCATTAACGCGACGCTTCCCGAAACATATTTCCGCGCCAGCCGTGTGTTTGCCCTCCCTCTCCTCTGAAAGGGCTAATTGCAAATGCATTTGTTTGAGGAGGAGAAGGACCGCCGGCTCCCGTCTCCGCCACGTCCCGCTGAGACGGCATTATCAATGCGGCCCGTGGCGCTTGGCGCGGCACGCACGGCCAAATCCACGCGGGAGCCGTTTGGGAACATGTGCAATCATACTGATCCCTGTAAAGCAAGAATTCAAGAGCTTTTATTGTACCGCCTGGTGAAAAAGTGACAGAGTCTGCTTCTGGTTTTAGAGTGTTCAGAGCATGTAAAGCCTGCTCACTGCAACAAAACACTGCTGTAGGTTTGATTTTTAGGCATTTTGTGCATGTCCACAATATTAATAAGCTGCTCTGAATTTAAATCAGGAATAGTTCAAATAAACTGAAAGTAACATGACATTACAGCGACTGCATTTATTTTCTTGCTTGGTAAAATAAATTAATCTTTTTGTTTTGCAGTAAAATAATTTTATGTTGTAAAAGTTTACTCGGAAGGAAAGGAAGATTTTAGGAATTTTTTTTGCTATTTTTTTTTTTTTTACAAAAATCTACTAATATTCACTCAAAATGAAAGTAAGTGAAACATTTTTCTGTAATTTATACTTTGCATTAAGATGATCGGACTGTATAATTATTAATCCATGACTGTTTGCGATAAATGTGACATTTTAACTACTCTTCAAAATGAGAAAGACAAGAAAACATGGTATTTTAAATAAGACAGATGTGGTCACGTTTGGACAAAGATAAAATAAAAATTACAGTGGAGGGTTTTGTTGCATTTCAGAGCATAAAATCCTTCAGTGTTCTGGTTGTTATGGTTTTAATGGTGATGTAAAAAACTGGTTTCAGACGAACTTTGTATTTAATAATTAATGTTTTTTTAGTAAATCATTTAGGAATGCGTTAAACTACTTCCTCATGATTTGATGTAAAGGATGGTAAAGTAATTTGGTTTCCTGTATAGTTTCTTCTTAAACTAGGGTGTTATATTCTATAAAACATTAAACCTTTCAAGGTCAGTTTTCATGCAATTATTTTTAAAAAGTGCCACAGGCTAAAACACCAACAAAACAACATGTTTTGTTCAACAAAACAGAAATGTATTCACATAGAAAATATGTCAAAGCTGCAGTGTTTGCTTTCAGATGGTAAACATGTTATTAAATAAAACAGAAAGGATTACAGATGTTTCTATACCAACATGTTTGGGATGTAAAGGTGCTAAAATCTTACGTGGGTGGGAAAGTGATCTCCATCTCATCCACCTGATCCCTGAACGCCCCCAGCTCTTTGTCATACTCTAGAAGCTGGGAAAGCAAAAAGACAACAAAATCAGAAATAAAGAGAGAAACATGAATAAGCAGGTAATGAATGATAACTAATTAAGTTAATGTGTGATCACTAATTGAGTTTATATGAAGCACGGTCAGATGTTTTTCTGGCTCACGGTCGGAAACTCCAATTTCCACTCAAATACAAAATTTCCCTCTGATTTAAAGGCAGATATTCACTTTTAATACGTAACCTGGAAGGAAACTCAAGGACAGAGTTCAGGACCGCTGAGTATGCAAGAAATGTTTGTGTCATTTTGAACTCAGACGTAGATTTTAACAACCGTATAAACATGATAATGAAATCAGTTTAAAAACACTTGCACTATAAATGTTAGGATCTGTGTTTTCTGTGTAGTTTCTGTCTAGTCCTGTTTTCCCCTGAGTCTGTCTTGATTGATCCCAGCTGTGTGTCGTTCCTGTGATTACCCTCCCAGTGTATTTAGTCCCACCTGTTGTCAGTGTTCTTTGTCGGATCGTTGTCGTGTCTCACATCTGTGTCTGTTCCTGTGCTACCAGTGATTTTCTGTTGTCCCTCCTGGTTCATCATTAAATCTTCTTCATCATCATGACTACCTGGGTTCCCCGGCGTCTCTCTCACCATCACCAACAACCACACACCATGACAATAAATATTTTCCAGGAAAATGAATCATGACACCAGTTCTGAAGTCCTTGTTTGAGACAGGAGAGATTGTAAACACTGCAGTTTGTTAATACAGTCCTGACTGGACAAGTATGAACCAGAGACCTGCTAACTCAGAGCTCCAAGAACCAAAACTAAGCAAAGGGAGGCAAAATTTCATTTCTGCTCCTTAGCTCAGAAACAAACTGTCTGAAAACCTGAACTGTGGAGAAACTTTTGGTTCTCGAAAACCAAACTGGAGGCTTCGGTCAAAGAGCCCGACTAAATCCACCGTTTTATCAGAATTTTATTTTATGGTGCATTTACACCCTAAAATTAAACTGTTTAGTCCACTTTAATTGAACTCTAGTTTGTTTGTCCAGAAGGTTTGGTTAGTTGAGTTTGTATAATCAAACTCTGATGTGTGTGAAGCAAACTCTGGTCCACCTACAAACCCAGGCTTCAGTTCCGGTGCGGTTGGAATGGATATGTGAACGCCGAGTGGACTGGAGATCACTCCAAAAGCAGGAAGCGGACTATGGTGGACTACCTAAACAAACACAAGAGCCTAGCACCAGCGGGAGAAATGGCTCATCATCTTTTACCAAAGACAAAAGAGAAATCCTATGACCACTAAACTCTGATGCCGCTCCATTTATTTCATGAAGAAGAAAGTTTCGCTCAGTGGCTTCTTCAGAGGGTTTCGTATGGATTTCATCAGTGGTTCTTGGTGCAGCGCCACCACAGGCAAGGAGGGGAACAGCTTTGTTCAAAGGGTTTTGTTTGACACAGTCAGTGTGAAAGCAAAAAGTTTAACAAATGCTGCAGTTTTGGTCCCCAACCTAGTCCAGTCTATCATACTATCAGGTGTGGAAAAAACAAACAAACAAAAGCCCTTAATGTCTTTACTCTGTTTCTGTGAAGAACTTTGGATTGCTGCGTTAATAAATGGTGCTACAGTAATAAACTTGTTTTTTCTTTAAAAACCATAGGAAGACAAACGGACAAATGAAAAGACGGATGGTTGGATCCTGAGTTGATTTGGATGGATGGACAGGGAATACAGTTGGGAATCGGTTATTTTTCCAATCTGTATCTAAATTCCTACCAAGAATATCAGGACCAACTTCCTTCAGAAACAGTGCCAGACTTTATCAAACTCATAGACAGTCGAGTTTATTTGAATTCACACAGCATTATCCGATTCAGCTAAGAAGTCAATACCCATTCATCACCCGGCCTTATAGTCTGAGGAAGAGTCAAACTGGATCATCTCATCTTTGTGCCCATTCAGTTACTCCTACATACCTGAAAGAGGTGCAGGGTATTGATGCCAGTTCACCAACTCTGTGTGTGTGTCTGTGTGTGTCACCAGTTCTCTCCAACTGGGGTGTGTCTCTCTATAACAACACAGCATCCACACACTCTTCATCAATCATGTCTCCTCACCCAGCTGTACTCACTCACTAGAGTGTACACACACACTTCCCCCAGTTTCCCACCTTTCACAAAACCCATAAATCATTAGTGAAAAGTGCAATTAGCAGCTCCTTGTACACATTAATTATCTGGGAGATGAACAGGTAGTCAGGGCACCTGCATGACTGCCTCCCTGTGAGACTGACAGCCGCGTTTCCCAGCAACCCCTTGCGGACCTTGCTCCAGCCCCGCCCCTTTCCCGTTCGGACAGGAAGACATGCAGATGAAGGGCAGCCATGTTGGTTTGCAGGTAATTTACGCTACCGAAAATGATTCCGACATCGGGAAACGATTATGGCCTGACGAGGACATCCTCCGCCGCGAGTCTGACAGCGATTGTATAGCCGGCCTGACGTTAATGACATCATGTTGCTGCATTAAACCTGACAATATGTTGATGGGTACATAATGAAACATCAACGGAGACGACGCGGCGCACATGGCCGATATTTGGAAGGACGTCCGGGAATTATTACACCGGCGGAAGGTAAGGGCTGTCTCCCATCTGCGGTGACATATTCATGCCTGTGCATTGTTTGCACACGCTCATAAACGACTCCCGTGCAAGCCTTCGCCCGTGCTCGTGGGTGTGATTACGTGGCAGCGGTGTAGAACAGCAGCCATTACTTGCAGCCGCGGCGGCCTCCCAGACAGAGTCTCAGCGGTTCAGGAGGGCAGATGTGCCGCATTCATCAAACTCACACCGCTGTGGGGGGGGGAGGGTGGTTGGGGGTCACGGGAGAGACTCACACACTGTGGATGAGGGATGGCAGAGCAGAGGATGCAACCCCACGCTCTGCTGTACTCCCTAAATCACCATGTTGGAGGATGTGTGTGAAAAGCTTAACCAGTATTTTTTTGCTATATTGGAATTTCAGCCAATCTAATACAACAATGCTGAGTTGCAAATGTTGGTTCTCAATCTGACAAAAATAATTTAAAACCTTCAAGGTGAGTGAAAATGACCCTAGGATATCTGTTAGTGACGTAGTGAAGCGAAAATCTTTACACACGTTTGGTAAATTCATCTCGTCAAGGACTGAGATGTTACTTTTATATGGGGGGGTTATATAAAATCAACTTTTTTGAGCTTTATGTCATGTTATAAAGTTATTCCCTCATCAAAAGCACCTCTGGAGTGATGCTTGGATTCTTTAATGCATGTTTGAGGAATCTCCCATAGCAGCCAGTCAGGTTTGTAAAATCCAACAAAGCTCCACCTATTTCCACAAATTTATTTTAAGTTATGTTTGACATACAGCATTATTATAACATCTGAAGGTCACATAGCACTTGACTGTGCTATAAATGGCACTCTGCCTAGAAAATACATGCTGCTGCCTTTTCAACGTCAAATTATAATCTAGAAACTGCTGGATCAACAGTGTCATCGCCCACAGTGAAGCCAGTTTCATGTAGGCCTGGACTGAGAGGGAGCAGAGCAGGAAAGAAGTCGACGCTCCAAATTGGACGCCTTTGAGCATGACTGAAAGTTACGGCTGTTTACATGGATGCAACATCTGGAGAGGTTTTATAATCAGAGGAGGAAGCTGGAGCTGTTCAGCCCGAATTACATGCATCTTTGATATATGTGCCACTGCACGGTGGTGGCAGTATCACGTTGCAGGATGGTTTCATTACCGGCAGTAGAGGAGAATAAGACAAACTGGGCAAAGAGACCCAACTGGATGTTTCAACAGCTAAAATGATGCCAAAGAAGAGTTAAAAATTGGTTTTTGGATGTATGAGGCAGGATAAACTAGTCGTCTAGAAAAGTCTCTGTCACGTCTTTGTCAAACAAAGCAGGATGAATGTATGCAGAATCATAATAAACTGGATTTTAATAAGTAAACCGACAAAAAAAAACAGATTTACAACACCAAAAAAATAACAGATCTGAGGATCTGACAATGGCTGAAAAACCTCTGGTGATTATAGTACAAGGAACAGATGTGAGTAGTTTACTGAATGTGGAGATCCTTGAAGGAGGATGATTCAATACTTGTAGAATAAACACAGAGGGAAATGACGGATCAAAGCAGATCTGCTCTTCCCTCTACCAGGTTTCCAAACTGCTAGAATTTATTTAGGTATTTATTTAAAGTTCCATTAATGAGATGGATCCAAACAGCCAGAACAGAATAACTCAACACCTTCCCTCCCCAGCATATTGCTACACATTGCCAGTAAGCTGGCTGAAAGAAAGCTCCTTTAATTTAGCTACTTTTGGGAAAAAAACAAACGTTAACAATTTGTAACTGAATGGCAACAATGTACCGTATTCAGTTTAACCAAAAACTGCATCTAAATGTTTACCAATACTTATTTTTGATCTATAGACAAATACAATTCCAGATATTCATTTCAATTTAGCAGAAATAGAAATAATTGTTGCTTTTGTGCTTTAAATAAAAGCCATTCAATCAATTTCTTTACTTTGGCTTAACATTTTCTTTTAAAACATCATGAAAACCTGGTATTTTTATTCAAGGCCATCACATCCTGCCCTGGAACTAGTTTATATACGTGTTTACTGCTGACTATGTTTTTATAGGACACACCAGCTCATGCTATAATGTATGGTGGAGTCAAAATGACACAGGATGAGCAACATATGGCTGTGTGTACGCACATCGTGAGCATGCTCCTTAAGTGAATCTTGAGTTATTCATCCAGATGAACGGAAAACCCTGCGGCCGGAAATTTCACACTACATTTCATCCCAGGTCAATTAGGCATTATGCGCTGCTGCTCTACCGGGTCGGCAGCTTAAAATAAAATAAATAAATAAAAAAACACAGCTTATACAGGTTCAAGGCTTGTGACATTATAAAGCCGGCTGTAGTTTGTCAACCAGAAATGACCTTGGGAGTTGTGAAGAAGGGTCGGCGCGAGATGATGTCGCTCCAGAAATAACGCGAGGGGAGAAAAAGATGAGGAAGTGTCAGGGCAAAAACTACCCTGTCATGGGCTCAAATTTCTGACTGCACTCGGATGATCCGCTCCCTCCTAAATCAGATCGATGCCGATAGTTAAGGAGACGGGCAAAAAAAATAATAAAAAATGGGGCAATGCAGTGTCTCTGAGCATGTCCACCACCTGTAATTGTGCTTTGATTTACGCGTTGTCAAATATTCCCTGTGACAACACCTGCTGCCACTGAAGACCATCAATAACTGCTGGGGTGAAAGGTCATTTAATTTGATTTTTACCCATCTCTCTTGGCTTTCATTGAGGTGGCCATATTTTTCCCACTTCTTTTTATAGTATCTTCATTATTTTGTGTGGAAAAGCGATAAAAAAGTGTCAGTGGCGTGGGCGCGAGGCGGGAGAGTGGAGTGAGGACAGACGGAGCCACTCCCAGAAAAACTGCAGAAGGAATCATTTCAGATTTAGTCAAACTTTAATCTTCTTTAGTTTCAGTTTTAGTTCATTAAATTTGCAATATGTATATGCACTGTTGTCGTCTCAGATATATGGAGAAATACCTTCTAAGGGGCTATTTTGCAACTTACAAAAACAAAATAACATTTATAACTTTATTTAGATTTTCTATTTAGAAAAAGATTTAAAAACACATATTCTATATTTTTTTGTAAACAAATATAAATATTGTACTGAGAGCTGTAGTCTCAAATTAAAACAGTTTATATGCGTCACAGCATAAGTTTGACATAATGCTAAAAAAATAAATGTTTTGTGCTGTTCAGTATTTTTGATGAAATGTTTAAGCCTGTTGGACGAAAACAACGTTCAGTATGTCCAGGGATTTAAACTCAACAAATTGGTCATTCATTCTCTACATTAGTTTTCCTCAAGAAAAATAAACTTTAGAAAAATTGGTTAAAAATGATTCTGTCTATCTCGTGACAGGGTGTCTCTTGGTAAACGTCTCTTTTTGAATATTTTGGCTTCAAATTTATATTTGTCAGAGAGTTTGTTTTCATTTGATACATATTCTATATAAATGTCTTAAACTGCCACTGCATTAATAATCCCTGCTCTTTATTTGTCAGATTCTTCGCACTTCATATTTTTTTATTGTCTGTTTTGTTATTGATGTTAATTTTGTTGTGTCATTTTTGGCCAGGTGACTCTTAAGCTCAGCGGGTTTTTTGTCTGGCTAAATAAAAATTAATAAATAAAACTTTACCCAGTCAACTGTAAGAACAAACAGTTATACATCCATATTAAATAACATTAATAATGTTGCTTGTCTCTTAGTTTGGCTAGATTTGAATCACAATAAATTAGCAACACAGCATTTTCAGATGATAGCACAACTAAACTATGTTAGAACTGAATATTTTTGGCAAAATATATTTTCATAATTGATAGAAAAATAATCAACTATAATAAACAATAAGTTTAAGAAAATAGATTTGTTTACAGATACAAATTAGAAGGAAAAAGTGACCAAATGAAGTGAAGTGTAGGTAGAAACTGGAGGCACGAAGTGACAAACTGACACACTGATACTAATATGTTCATCTCACTTTTTATTCACCGACATCTCAGGCATCTTTAACATGAATGAGTCTTTATGTAGTTTTTGTCCAGAAAAAAGCTAATTGATGAAATCTCTGGTGAAAATTTTACTGCTGGTAAAATAAATCTGCAAACTATTTAGCGTCTTTTGGTGATTTAGTGAAGCAATTCCTGATACAATGGACTGAAAATGTAGAATGACATATTCCAAATTTAATTTCTGCCAGGAGATTTACGTAAAGCTAAAGAGCCATCTATTTTGATAAAGTGACACAAACATTTTCCAGCCAAACTAAATGACAGAACTACTGCAGGATCACTTTAAATCCCTTAATGTTGGATTTTATTTAGCATCGATTCTGAAGTGCCACTTAGAGCAGCGACGGGCGAACTCTGGGCAGGAGGAGCGTTTCCTCCTCTTGTTTAAAACATCTCCTGGTTTGTGAGTAATGCCGAGGGCCGACGCCAACAGCATGACGAGCAGAGGCACGCCGGACAGGAAGGTTCATCACAACACAAACACATCCTGGTCCCCCATCTGCCAACACCACACTGATAAAGTTACAATAAAGAGATAGTGAAACAAAATCAATGCGGATGGGGGAGAGAGACGGAGCCGCGGGTGTGTGCTGCAGGGAGGAAACTGATTTGCAGGAGTGCAGATGTGTGCACAGCCACACACAAGCACACAAGCCAACGCCGCGCTCCTCCCATCCCTCCGCCGGTGCAAGGCCCCATGGTGCCCCTTGACGCTGCGAGCGCCTGGAAAATTTAATCTTCCCAAATACTCATCAGGGCTCTCCATCGTCCTGCCGTGACAGCGCCGGGGATAATTAATTATACAATTTCGATGGGAATATCGACTAAACAAACCTATTAATCATAGCAAAAGTCAATAGGCATGGACACATTCAATCATGTCCCGGCCAATGATTACTCCTCTCAAAATACAATAATTATTTTCAAGAGCTGCCTCGAATTAAATTTCTGTCAAGCTGGTACAAGTCTTGCAGTTGATGAAGGATGCAATGGATTTTTTTCCTCTACCCCACCCCGGTGGAGGAGCAGAAGGCGGGACATTTATCCTTTTGGAAAGGTAGTTTGTTTTATAAGGATCATAACACGGTGTGTTTAACTAGACCATGACCATCAGATTATCTCTGATGCCCCCATTATGTCATCCATCTTGTCTTGCTTGCTGAGGAGGTGGAGAGGGAGGAAGGGGGAGGAGGAGGAGGTGAAGCTGAAGGCAGAGGGGGGGCATCAGCCTCCTGCAGCAACTGTTTCACAGACCGGCTCATATTCTGTAATACTGCCACTTCAATGAATACCAGGCTTGACAAGTACTACCATCTAGTCAGACATTTTAAAGCAGCAGTACAACTAAATCTGAAGCTGTTCAGCTTCTTGCATCCTGAAAACAAACAAAAAAGGTGAAAAAATAAACATTTTCTGCATCTAATGGATGACTGGCTAAAGGATGCAGCTGCAGTTTATATAGCATTTTTACTCAAAAGTTCAAATTTCCAAGTTCAAAGTTAGAAAAATTACCATCCAGGTATGTAGGAATCATTTTAATGTTAGAAAGGTGAAAGTTTTCACACAAAATCCGACATAAAAACCCTCCTTTTTAGAGCTGTCTTTGATTCATAGTAACTGAAACATCGACACATATATTTGATGTATGTTTGCTTGATAATTTTGATGATGGCATTTGACAAAATGTAATGTTTATTGCTTGTTTCATCATTATTTTACATGATGTTTTATCATATAAAGCAATTTGAACTGCTTTGTTGCTGAAATGTGCTGTCCAAATAAACTTGACCTGAACTTATTCCAGGGAAAACTCGCATCAAAATCCATCCTAGTCAGAGGAGCAAAAGATAAATAAATAAAAAAAAGGAAAGAAAAACTGCATTTAGAAAAGAGGAGAAAAGTGATAAAACAGAAAAGGTCTTGGTTACCAGAAGGAAAACAAATGCTGGGCCATCTGCTGCCTGCTAATAATCCAGCCAGGACTTTCTGTTTTCATCCATAAAACACTGATTAAGGTGGAAGGAATTCATCCTAATAATGTAAAGTGTATAATTTTGAAATAACTCATTTAACATATTTATGTGTTGGATAATAAACAGCTTTCCTGCTATGTTCTTTTCTAATGACTTTGTTTCTCCACGATTGGGCTTAGATTTGTTTATGTTGTTTATGTCTGGTGATTTTTAGCTATTTTACCTTTAGAGGTTCATAAATGACTGCTGATTTATTGCCCAGGGGTTTATATTAACTTTTTATATTATGAGTCAAACAGCATTAATAAGCTCTGGCTTCATGCTTCATTCTGTTGATGTGAAGGTGTGTGTGTGTGTGCGTGCGTGTGTGTGTGTGTGCGTAACTCCTGGGGAATTTAACAAGCTGCGACTTTGAACTACTTAATGTAATATACAGCCATATAAAAGCAGAGGAATGTAAAAGGTGCTTTCAGCTGCACATACTTAACACTCAGCCTGTGTGCACACAAAGTTACTCCAAAGACATGAGAGTTCAAACACCGTGCATGAAAGTCAACTGCAAGAACGGATCCTAAATCCATCCTCCAGAGCTGGCAAATCCGGTTCTAGGGCAGCTCCGATTAGCGCTGGTGGCACCCTGGAACTGGATTTGCCAACAAAGATCTGGTCTTAGGGTTATTAAAGCAATAACACCAAAATAATAAGACATGGCTTGCTTTGTTAGGACAAAGTTACTGTATGCAGGGCGTTTGTCGGTGACACTCTAGTTCAGCATGCGCTTATTTTAGCCTCACTGAAATCTATTCAAACCACCGTGCTGTGCCTCTTTCATCTTCTATTTCACAGATAATCAGTTTAAATCCTTATAAACAGCAGCTGCCGTTATCATACTGAAAAAGGGAGAGTCCATGAAGCTGTTAGGGTAAATCTAAATTGCTGTAAGTTCCTAGAAGATGAGAGGGAAGCTGAGCATGTGAAGGGTCGGAACTTACCGAGGTCCCGTTGTTTGCCTGGAAAATATTTGGGTCGGCGAAATTGAAACTCTTCTTTTCAACTTCAAGAATAACCTAAATGAAAGGGAAGAGATGAAATGTGCTCTGATTAATAGCGGTAATAATGAGGAGAGGACTCAGTAATTAGAGACTTAATTAACATCAGTGAGCAACGGAGGCAGGGAGGGCTGCGTTATCCACTGCTGAGGTGAGGCAGGATCTCACCTTTACTAAAGCGGGACAGGTAGAACAAATGTAGACTACAGAACGGTCCAGTAAAACAGTTTTACACCTAATTACAGATGCATCATCAACATTTCACAGAGCGACTCAGGTAAGTGAGAGAGAACTGACCTTTTGGTCGTTACCAATCTCTCTGTATCTTATCTTGTCCACTTCATTGTTGGAGTTTGTGATGGTCTCCAGTTTGGTGTTATAACAGAGATGATGCTGGAAGAGACAAAGACAGAGAGAGTGAGCGATCATGACAACATGAAAAACAAAAACACACACACCGAGTTCTGGATGGAAGCTTTGGCCCCAAAAGTTAAGATTTATTGCAGATTTTCTCCACTAATTTGGTGTTAAGTCGCTTAGCAGGTTTCACGTCAAACCACCAGTTCAAACCACACGCTTCCTGGTCTGAACTGGTTCATTTGTTATGTTTTTCCTTCTCATTGTAGTCAACAAATTCTCAAACAAGTTGAGGTCTTTGGGAAAGTCAGAAGCTGAATATTTGAACTTTTAAGAACAATTTTGATTCTTCTGGCAAATACACAATAAATTAAAAATTATATATTATGGCGCAGTTGGTAGAGCTGTTGCCTTGCAGCAAGAAGGTTCTAGGTTCGGCCTTTCTGCATGGAGTTTGCATGTTCTCCTTGTGCATGGTGGGTTTTCTCCGGGTACTCCGGTTTCCTCCCACAGTCCAAAAACATGTCAGGTTAATTGGCCTCTCCAAATTGCCCCTAGGTGTGAGTGTGTGTGTGTGTGTGTGTGCATGGTTGTGTGTCTCTGTGTTGCCCTGTGACAGACTGGCGACCTGTCCAGGGTGACCCCGCCTCTCGCCCGGAACGATAGCTGGAGATGCACCAGCACCCCTCCCGACCCCACTAAGAAAATGGATGGATGGATATCTAATTACAGGAGTTTAAAATCATTACTGTTACGTTTCATCATCACTCCATCCTAGAAACCAGAGTTTGAATTAACCACAAGTGTATATAAATATAGAAGCATAATAAAATGCTCACATTGCTTGATGGATTGAGGTTTTACTGTTAACCAGATGTTAATTTATCCTCAACACTGTGTTGCGTTCAAATGCCTGTTTTAAAAGAACCGACCCACAAACTCCCTTCTCTTTATCCGGTCTATGTACTGAGCCCCTGGACTGTGTGTGGGGTTAAATTCAGCTTTGTCAACTCTCTTAACAATTAGTTAAACATTCGGCCATCTGTGTTTGAAGAAAGCTGAATAAGGAAATCCCTCAGTCAGAGGTTCCCATAGCACACAGCAGAGGCTGAGAGGAACCTGATTGAAATTCAAAGCACAGATTAGATAATCGGGTCAAGCCAATATAGCCGGCAGAAAAAGGCTCTTTAGGCTGAAATGTCACAAATCAGACCTGCTTCGGCCACGAAGAAATGGCACACCAGATTAGAACAAACACCGACCCTGAGAGAAAGTGGAACAACTCCTTGAAGACGACCCCCCGCCCTTCACCGCTCCAACGCTTCCTTCGTACCCCCCCATTCCCAAAAGGAAATTTCTAAAGCCCCAACAAATCGCTCCATCTTTCACTCATTTAGGCCATCCAAATGCTGGGTCAATATGGTCCCCTGGCAGCCAAATGCTAATGCGCTTAAGTGTGCTTAAGAAGCTTTGTGCAATGAATAGGCCAAAGAAGGAGCTAGTGAGAAGGGCAAGAGATGCTTTCCCTGTCAAAAAGTCATTGTAGCCACATTTAGCAAAGACAATCACAGAAAGTCCTTTTTGTTGTTGCTGATGGCTTTACTGTCAGCACCAAACACATTCTAGTTAACAGGAATCAGAAAAAAATAACCTTTTGCAAAAGCCTGGAGAAAAAAAAAGCCACTTTTGTCTTGCTTTCTTAATTACACCTTGTTAATTTGACAAGAATCCTTCCAAATGAGAATCCTTTCCTCTTAGAAATCCCCAGAAGTCTCTAAGTTCCCATCAAATCCAGATGTTGACAATTCCACCGTTTCCACAGGCAAAAAGGAGCTTTGAAATGCCATTGAACGTATAGACCCAGCACCAGGTCCATCGGACTTTTTCACAACCACACACTTAATTGTTTTTTAATGGGATTTTATGTGACGTACCAACAGAAGGTTGTGGAAGGAAAATTGTGCGCGGTTATTAACATTTTTCTAAATACTGAAAAGCATGGAAAGGTGCCTAGATTTGTGCCAGAGATACAAAGATTCAATATTAATAACCGAGTCGGATCAGATATTAGGGACAATGATCCATAAGTGCAGATCTATTCAGTCTAAATCTATGCTTTGTGTTATACACAACATCATGCTTTATTATTTATTTTACATTATATTTCAAATTCCTAATTACACTTTAAGTATTCAAAACAAAGTTTGTTGCAGTTTATTTTTACTTTTGACAAAGATTGTCCACCTGATGCTTTGGTCAGTTTTAGTTTATTTTTTATTCAGATTGTCTGTTATACTTCTAATTGCACTGACTGAACTAATTAAAGCTGTATTGTTTTTACATGTTTGACCAAATTTGTGAAGCTATTGGTGTATTTAAGTATGCATACGTGTCTGAGTGTTTTTTTTAAAGCATCTTAAGTCAATTCTGCACTGTTTTTCTGTATCAGATCAGTATCAGCCGATACTAAACTTCAGATATTTGTATCAGAAGTGAAACATGTGGTTGCCTGATAATTAATTAGAGGCCATTTGAATCCAGTTCACTACTTTTAGGCATGTACTCCACTAATCAGACCTTTATGGACGTTTTTGTTCACACTTTCCATCAAGTCTAACTCAGTTTGAGCTACTTTGAAAGAAGAATGAACAAAAAACTGCACACAGTTGACCAGTGTTTTCAGACTTTTATTTAAGAAAATAAAGAAAAAACATGCTTCCTCCTCACAGTTGTGCAATACTACTTTAACTCTAGTAAAATACGGTGAGGTTGTGTGGCTGAACTCTTACAAATTCTGATAAGGTTTAAGAGGTATACATACTTTTGCAGGCTACTGTAAACTCACAGATCATGCACATAATTTGCAGAGTAAAAACAGTAATAATGGATGTCCCAGTAATAAGATAGCTCCATATATTTTGTATTTATGTGAGCCTCGAGCTTGTGCCAGGAGAGTTCGGCCAGGACAGTTCAACAATTAGCTAATGCTTCCTTTTCTTGTAGGAAAATGTCTTTTCCAAGAACGATTACTCTTTGGAATCCTGGCTGAATTCAATTATTTCAGCTTCAGGGTAATGTATGATTCCAGCTGGGCTGTAGGAATAACAACACAGATGTAGGAGAAGGAAGACCTTACATGCACAAGAGCCTAATGAGGAAAATATTTTAACAAATTAAAGTTTGGTGGATCAATACTGATGCAGGCTCTCCTTTAGCGACCGAGTTCTGCACATTTGCATAGTCCTGCAAGCTCACATTAAAACGATTGATCCATCCATATGTTCAACGACGGAACAATCAGTGTATCAGTGAAGCCGCAGGCGGGTGATTGCACACAATTGATCACAGCTAACCTATGGTCTCCCAAATGGCTCATTCAAGCGAGGGACAAACCTCCAGGAGCTTCGACTCATCCCCGGTGTTCCTGTCATAAGATCTGGCCAGCAAACTCCAACCATGGAGATGGGGAAAATGAGAACCCCATGCTGTCACTTAAAGCCATACCAGAGCACTGATGTGTCCTTGGTACCGCCAGCTGCATGGCCGGTCCAGGTGCTCCTGCAGAGTCTCTGAACAGTCAGCTCCCTTCAAAGCTGCTGCTCCTTAAACGTATTACATGTAGACGCTGATCAGCCTAAATGACATTACGACCAATAACACAATTTGTGTGGTTGCAATTGACTCCTTGTTTGATGCCTGCTTATTAGCTTGCAGGAGGGACAAGAAGGCAGGCAATGGGAAAATATTAACAAGCAGTGGGGGTGGAGACGGCTGGGTGACTCAGCATTATGGGTCAGAGGTCAGCATTGAGTGTTTGTAGAGGGCCACAGATTGGAGGTGCTGTTGAGGACAGCACTGGCTTTGTCCATCGATGGAGGATAATCTCCTGACTGTGGAAGGAGGAAGCTCTCTATTCCAAGAAGACAAGCTAAAAGCAATCTGTCTCACTTCAAAGACCAAGGTCCAGACCCCCAGCACTCAAATTCAAGCCTTATGTGGATGGCACTGCTGGCCAATGGACGCCATCCACCGTGTCCAGCTGAAACATTTAGGAAATCCCAATATAACGCCATAAAAGGACTCATAAGAGGGTCAGAGGTCACCAGTTAGAAGAAGAAAAACTCATTAGACTTAAGAAAAAGATGAAAAAACTACACTTGAAAGAGTATGACTCCAGTCATCAATCCTCCACCACTGTGCTTGGGTGTTTGGGTTTATGTGTTGTGGTTGGTCATTTCTGAAGATGGTGCTACACTTATGGTCAAACATTTCTACTTTGATCTTATCTGTTCAAAAAATGTTGTTCCAAAGGTCGTCTTCATCCAGATCAAAGGTGTCCAGACATCTTCAAGGACCAGTGTCTATGGCTGTCGTACTCGAGACCGATCTTGTTCAACCTTAGGATGGTGTTAGACTCAACCACATTTGTACTTGCTCTTGATGAATTTCAACCGAATTGTAGTCCGCAGTAGTTGTAGTTTGGCAATGGAAGCAGAGGAAGTAAATTAAGCCATTCGGTCCATGCTGGTCAAGTCGATCACAGCCATTGTCCATTGTGTAGCCTGTTTTACACTGCTTCCATCCCATTGCTGACATATCGAAGGAAATCCAGTAAAAGACAAGAAGTTGAGTGGTGAAGCTCTAGTGTATTGTTGTCAGTCAATCTTGCACTGCTTTGGTGTGGACTACTTTAGAGAATTGCTATCCTAGCCATGGCCTTCCAATGCAATTCCACTTCATTCTCATCTCCCTTCAGTTTTTCTTCTGGGATTTGTCCTATTGAGCTCGACTTCTCAGAATGGATTTGATCCTGGCCAATCAGCGAACAAAAGAAGTAGTTGTAAATGATGACAGAGTTTCTGCGTGTTTTGAATTGTAGTCAGCCTATTGTTGTAGTTTGGCAAAGACATCGGAAGAAGTGAACTAAGCCATTCAGCTTGTTTTGGACATGCTTCCAAATATTAAGGAACTAAATTCAGAGCAAGAGGATGGTTACTTGCAATGGACGCAATTTTCGGTAAGCTTCATAGCGTCTT